GGTGGAGCAGGCGTAGTCCCGAGCGGGAGCAGGATGTGGGGGCTGGAGGCAGCCACGGGAGGTGGTTTGTGCCCTGGTGACTCAGTGGCACGCTGTGGTGTGTGTGACGTGGCCCCAACATCATCCAAACATTGCCCTGTGGGTGGTCGCAGCAAAGGGAACAGCATCCTGCCCCTCCACGCTCCGAGCCTGCTGGCAGCTGTGGTTCTTCCAGCAGGAGCATCGGCTGCCGGGGGGAGCAGAGAACGAGGGGGAGGGACGAGCGTGTGGGCTGGCACTGGCTGGGTTTGTTGTCATCAGAGGTGGAAAGAGAGGTTGCTGTGCCCTGCCCTGCCTCTAACCCAGCTCTACTGGATTTCTTGTTGCTCTCGGACAGAACAAGCCAGGAGAGAGAGGTTGGCCAAGACAGCTCAGGGATTAATTTGTCAAACGTAATTGCAGTGGGAGAATCTTGAAAGATTGAGCCCAGAGTGAAACCCCAGCAGTGCTGGGACAGGTCTGCTTTGGAAACCACCCGTCCCAGACTCTGTGGAAACTCGGTGCAGGCCAGTTCAAAGGGAGCTGAGAGCCCAGCCTGGCAGAAGTGAAGCTGGTCCCATTCACTTGTCAGTTGTGCACAGCAACCCTGTGGTTTTCACCAGTTTCAGGCACTTCCCCAGTTGAGTGGAGCTCCCTGAAACCGTGCAGTGCTTGGAAGCTGTGGAGGAATGGGCAGGATTTTTGTGTCCAGGCCACCTGAAACTCAACAGCACTGAGGGCTTCGTCTGTTCTGGGCTGTGCTGGGGAGCAGGGAAGGAACTGAACCTCCTCTAACTCACCTTTGGATGGCTCTGTTTCTGCCCCCAGAGAGGAAGCGGTTTTACCAGAACGTGAGCATCTCGCAAGGAGAAGGTGAGTACAGCTGCTGGGCCAGGACGGAGGGGCTGGTCCCCAGTGGGGGTGTTATCAGCTCACCCTTCTTCAGCGAGAGCATGGCACACTCACAACCCAGGCTGTGCCAGTCAGGTGTTTGTCACCAGCCTGCTCTGCCCTTCCCTCAAGTGGAAAAGTATGTCAAAATGATGGTGATGGTGGGGAAACTTGAGTATCCCTGGTCCCGTGCTCCCATCAGCTCCAGCTCTGAATCTGCTCCCGCCGTGGGGTTGTCTGTTGTTCCTTAGTGCCTGCTCCTCTTTGATTCCCCAGGATTTATACTCTGATTCCCCAGGAGGCTTTGAAATAAACCTGGACCACCGCAAGCTGAAAACGCCACAGGCCAAGATCTTCACTGTCCCCAGTGAGGCCTTGGCCATTGCAGTGGCGACAGAGTGGGACTCCCAGAAAGACACCATCAAGTTCTACACTATGCATCTGGTGAGCATGGCAGGGCAGAAGGCAGTGTGCTGGGAGCAGTAAGGTCAAGGAAGTCAGGATTAAAGACAGGGAATGGAAATGCTGGGGGCTAAAGATGGGTTTGCCGGGCCACTGCCACCAGGCAAGCGCTTTGCCAGCTGGCAGAATGGATTCCAGAGCACCGCTTTGGGGTGTCAGCCTTGCACCACAGTGCATGAGATGGGGGCATCTTCTAAGAATGCTTCCTTCTGTGTCCTGCCTCCCCCTGCTCTCCTGAGAAGTTGCAGTAGAATTGGCATGGCTTAGTCTAAAACTAGGGTGACTGTGTAGAAGGAGAATGGTCTCCAAACGCAGAACATGGAGAGAGCAGGTTGTCCTAATCCCCGTGGAACTGGGGACCAGAGTTTGGGACTTTGGCTGGGCACTGGGGAGAACCTTGTGGTTGTGAGGGCAGCTAGATACTAGCTGGGTGACTGTCTAGGGGCAAATCTGTGTCACTGGGAGACTTCTGAGAAAGTGCTGGACGGTGTTATTGGGGATAGCAAGGGGCAGGAGGAAATGGGATGAGCCCTGGAGTAGTCTGTGAGCCCTCTCCCCTGGTGCTTGATGGGCCTGCTCCTGAGGCTTCTGAAACCAGTGAGAAGATTCCATGTTCTGGCCCTGCACGTCTTTCAGCTGCGCTCCTCGGTTCTCTGCCTGCCACGAATTCCTCTGCTCCTTCTTGGCTTTGTACAACAGAAGCTTCTGCTTCCCCAGGGCTTGAATAACAACAGTTCAAACTGCCTTTATCCCGCAGACCACGCTGTGCAACACGGCGCTGGATAATCCCACGCAGCGAAATAAAATGCAGTTGATCCGTGCGGCTGTGAAGTTCCTGGAGACTGACACTGTCTGGTACGAGATGGGGGTCCCGCTGGCGCGGAGGCCTGGTTGTGTTGTCGCAGGGTGGGTTTTGGAAAGGTGGTTGGCGGAAGTGAGCAAAAATGTCTAATGTAATCCAGTCATGGCAGGGCTCTGATCTGTCCCGGTTTTGGCCCAAGGGTTTGAATTAGTTTAGGCTAGTCCTGTGTCTGCAAATCTAGTGGAAGTCTGTGCACCCGAAGGGCGTAGGTATGAGGGAGAACGGGGATCTCACCCTCTGTTGAACTCTGGTTTGGACACCTCCATGCTTGGCAAGGGTGGGAGCAGCAAGAAATGAAGATGATGGCACAGGTTGCCTAGAGAAGTTGTGGCTG